CCCCAAAACCCCAAAACCCCAAAACCCCATCAATCTGAAATTCGAATTAGAATAGTTAACTCATAAAATATATATTCATCTTTTAACGATATATAACCAGACTCATCTGAATCCCTTTTGTCTATTCACTCGTATGGTTATAAATGATTGATTGCCTCTTTAAAGAATTTGATGGCATTAGCTACATTATTGAACTCTAGCTCACTGATGGCATTTTATGCCTTCTTTTTAGCATCTGCAATACTTTTGTAATATGCTGCATCCTTTTTAATAGGTCCAGTCCTTGCAGGAGGCTATTGTTACTATTATTGCTAAATTGGGGCTGGATTATATTGAGGTAGTGGTTGATGTTGCTATTATGGCTAATATTAAGGAAATGAATTTGGCTAGAAATTTTATTATTGCTGAATATGACCAACTGGTTAATGATTTTACTGTTTTATTTCTTCTTCTGGATGATATTGATCTTATGAATGCTAAGATGGCATAGATTGATCTACTTGCATATCTGTGGGTAATTACTCTTCTTCTTGAGCAAATGGATTTCCTCTTGGGGGTTCTTCTCCTGTCTTGAGACATCTGAGAATTGAACCAGCTTTAAATTTGCAATACTTTTCTCTTTCTTGCCACTCAGGCTCTAAGCCGCCGAAGATTGTCAGCATTGATATAAAGTCACCACATTTCTTGAAATCAATGGCATTTTACTTGGTAATCTTCTCGCAAGTTCTCTCTTCCTTATCAACTTTGGCGAAGACACTTAGAACAAAGTTTTCAGCTTAGTACTTATGATCGTCCTTGGTAGTAGCCCCTAGACTTGCCTTAAGCTTTTCAAGTTCATTGAGCTCTCCCATCAAGAATTGCTTTACATCTGAAGTGGCTGCAGCTGGGTTAGATTTCATCAATTCAAATCCCTTGTTAACACCATATAGTTTGCAATAGTAGGACATGACTGGTGAAGCTGATTAAAGTTCTAGTGAGTATTTGAAGTATACTTTTATTGGGGCAATAGCTGACATTTTTAGATTATATATCTTTTCTCTTCCTATTTTAGTCTCAATTATAATTTGTCTAAAAATTACCAATACATCAGATTTCTAATTATGCTAATAGTAGGGGTTTTGGGGTTTTGGGGTTTTGGGG